CCCCCCCCCCCCCCCCCCCCCCCCCCCCCCCCCCCCCCCCCGGTCACCTTGGCCTTCTCAGGCTGCAGCGACTCCACTCGCCCATTTAGCATCAAAATTACACAGTGGGGTACCAAGAGATGCCCTAGGGAGCCTTCAGATCCTGTCTGTATCCCCCCTCCCTGCCCTTGCTCCCTGCAGCCTTGTCTCCTCCTGATGATAAAGAGAGATTCACTCTGCTGGGAGGACAAATTGTTTTTTTGCCCACTCATCTCTTGGCAGTGGTCTGGCTTAATAAAGTTTAATGGGACTCTTGCTGTGGTGGAAATATTCTGCATCTGGAAACCATGGCCTCCAGAAACTCAGAGACTACAGTTACGGAGACAGGAGGCACAGATCTCCTAGGTGGGTCACTGGGAGTAATGGTAAACATGGATACTCGTACTTCCACACATATTCTACCTCTTGGGGACATGGTACCATATAATAGCCAGTAGTTTAAGATGTATACCACATCTTGAAGAATAGGAGGGATTCTAGCAGGGTGTCTTCTGTAAGTTATACCTTATCTATGTCTTCAAAAGGCTACTCCATTGATCCATCGGGCTGGCAGCTTCAGGGTGGTATGATATGTGATAGGACCAATGGATCCTTTGGTGTACAGTGGGTCCCATGGTCGGTTGTGATGCTATGCAAGATCCAATACTCATGGATCAGATGGTATGTGAACTCTTGGATAGGAGGGCTAGTCACTGCAGGCAAGAAAATTCAAATCTCTATCCAGAATATGTCAAATGAATTGATTTGTCCTATCAAATAAATTGAGCCCTTTCCAAGTTTGGTTTGAAAGGGGGCCAATATAATCAACTAGTCAAGAAATGACTGGCTGGTTTCCTCTAGGGATGCTGAATCAGGGGTCCAGCCCTGGACTCTATTTTGGCAGAGGCAGTAGCTAGATCAGACTTGGTGAGTGGGAGCCCACACTGTTGTGCCCAGGTATAGCCTCCACTGCTGTCACCATAGCTACTACATTCATAACTCCATTGTTTCAGCATTGGAATGGCTAGTTGGCATTAATTGGCCAAGTCATTTTCCTCTACTTTGTGTTGTAGTGTCTGTTCCGTGATGGATGTTCTCTGATGGGTGTTAATATGTTACACAAAGATCTTCACATTCATAATGACTCCCATAGATCCATACAAGTGCCTTTTCTGCAGACCTCCCTGTTCCCAATCTTCTACTTTTACTTGTTCCAGGCCCCTGACCAATAAATCAGTCAGGCCACTTCTCTTTCCACAATAAACGTGCAGTGCCAGAAGCTCTGTCCTTTGAGAAGATTTCCCCTCACTATTCTTTTTTTTTTTTTCCTTTTTGTCTTTTTCCGTGTCCGGCAACGGATCGCAACCCTCAGTGTTGCCCCCGTACCGGACCAGGACCGGCAACGGGATCGCAACCCTCGGTGTCGCTCCCGCGCCTCGCTCAGCCAGTGAGCGGGAACCGGTCTGTATGT